ACCGTGGCATCAGCCTTCTTAGCATTGTGGGAAAACTGTATGCTAAGGTACTGATTGAAAGGGTCATGAAAGAAACTGATGGAAAAATTTGGGATGTGCAAGCGGGATTTAGAAAGGGAATGGGATTTACAGATCAAGTCTTTTCCATGCGCATGATCGCGGAAAAGTTTTTGGCCAAAAACCAAAAGGTTTTTTGTGCGTTCATGGACTTGGAAAAGGCCTATGACAGAGTGGATAGGGATTTGCTATGGCAAACACTGAACTCATTTGGGTTGAGCGCTGGCTTGATACAGGACAGGCATTGGAGTCTCTTTATAGGGACTCTAGTGCTTGTGTTAGGATCAACGGGGTCTACTCGGACTGGTTTGACATCCATAAAGGTGTCAGACAGGGCTGTGTGGCTTCCCCGTGGCTGTTCAACCTATTTATGGACAGTTGTTTGCAAAATTTGAAAGTTGAAGAATGCGGATTAAGAATGGGTGAGTTAACCGTCAAATGTCTTTTGTACGCCGATGATCAAGTTATTCTTGCGTCGTCGGCGGCCGAGTTGCAAATGATGTTACATTAATGAACGGATCATTAAAAGAAAGGGGTATGAAAGTGAACGCAAGTAAGACGAAGGTTATGGTTTTTGAAAGAGAAGAAAGTAAAACGATTTGTGAAATAAGAATAGAAGGGGAGTTGATCGAGCAAGTAGATGAGTTTGTATATTTGGGCTGCGTATTCAGCAGGGATGGGAGATATGATAAGGATATAGAACGACGAGTGAATGCGGGAAATAGAGTAAATGGGGCCCTGCACTCTATTGTGAAGAGTCAAAATGTGTCGAAAAAGGCACGTATGGCAATTCACAATGCTGTGTTGGTCCCTACTTTAACGTATGGTAGTGAAAGTTGGGTGTGGCAGAAGAAGCACGAGAGTAGAATAAACGCAGTAGAAATGCGGTCGTTAAGGAGTATGTTAGGGCTGAATCTGAATGACAGGGTAAGAAATTGTGTAATAAGAGAAGAGTGTGGTTTGCAAGATGATGTTGTGACCAGGATTAAGAAAGGAATGCTTCGGTGGTTTGGTCATGTGGAAAGAATGAATGAGGAAAGAGTGACAAAGAAAATTTATAGTGCAGAAGTGAATGGCAGAGTCGGAAAGGGACGTCCTAGGCGAAAATTTATCGACCAAATTGGCGATTTATTGAAAACGGGCCAAATTACGAGTACCCTTAACCGACGAGCATGTATGCGTAGGTGTATGGATGTGAAGGAGGCAAGAGAGGTGTGTCAGGATCGTGCCAAATGGAAGTCTGTAGTCTCTGCCTGCCCCTCTGGGTGACAGGCGTGAGTGTTTATGTATGTATGTAAGTAAATTCAACAGCAAGTCATATCTACTGACACGAATATATTTCTTGCAAATTGAGTTGATTTTTTATCATGATAAGGTCCAGTTAATCGTTTATTTATGATTTGTAGTTCTCAGATTTCAAGTAATCTTTTTGTTATGTGTCTTTACTTAAAAAAATTGGTGCCTCCTACTTATATTTTAGATTATTGTAACAACGCCGTAGATTTTAAACATACAATGTTTGTGATATCATCCAGTATTTTAAATACTAAGCTTATTCGACCAATGTTTCACTAAAAGTGATTAATAAATAGTGATTATTTAATCAAAATACAGTTTTTTTCGTTGCAATACCTGCTATCTCAAGGAAAGAAAAAAATTAAAAAATTGTAACAATTCCTCCTATGTAGTAATATTTCAGAAACCTGTAATATTTCAGAAACCTGTAATATTTCACTATATTTAACAATACACTCTCAATTCTTATCTTCCTGTAACAAAATTAAAACTTTACAATGTTCCAAGAGTATACGTAAAATTAAGTGAAAAGTTTTTTCGTCTCCTGTAAAGTAGTGTTTTTTGAGTTAGGAGTAATTGCCACTTCGTCGTCGATAACAGCCCTTCACAAGTACACTGCAGAACATAAGTCTCTCCCAAGGAATGCCACAAAGCATGGTCCTGAGTCACCTGCATCCATAAACTTGTTGCATGTCTTACCGGGTCGTCACTCCATCTAGTGGAGGGTCGCTCTACACTTCGCCTATCGGTACGAGGCTGCCACTCGAGAACCTTTTTTCGCCACCGGTTGTCGGTTCTTTGAGGTATATGGTCGGCCCATTGCCACTTCAGCTTACTAATCCGTTGCGCTATGTCAGTAACTCTGGTTCTACTGCGGATATCCTCATTTTTAAATTCATCATGCAGAGAAACCCTGAGGACAGCCCTCTCTATAGCTCTTTGAGCGTCCTTGAGCTTTCTCATACGGCTAGCAGTAAATGAACACGTCTTAGATCCATAAGTCACTGGCAACACGCGCTGGTTGTACAATCTGGTCTTCAGGTTTTGAGATATACCTGATGAGAAGATGTGACGTCGTAATATCCCGAACGCTGCCCGGCCGAGTTGAATCAGTCGATTGACCTAGTTTTGAATTGAAGTCTTCCATTAACATTTCCTCCACCTCCTCATCTGGATGTGCTAGGGTTGTTGCGTTAACCTGAGTATAACGTACGCAATCCTCGTCGACACACACATTCTTTACAACGTTGCTAACGAGAAACTTTGGACGACAAATCCGATATCTCCATGGGACAGATGGTCATGATGGAACTAGTTACCGGATTCGAGGATTACTGTGTCCTTCCCCTCTTTGGATCTCAAATAATCCTATAACATCCCAGTTCAACGTATCTATCTCTTCTTCCAGCTCCAGGATATTCTCGTCAGTTCTCAGGGTGCGTGCGTTATATGTTGCCAGGTCTGCCCCACCATCGTAGCCAGGAATAGCGGGGCCGCCGGGGACTGGGGACCGTTTCTTTGCGTCGTTGCTATGGGGGAATGTTTGCCATAGTTGCCACGCTTGGCAACCTCAGTTTTTTTTATTGTAATTTGCTGTTCTCAGGAAGATGCTTCTGACCATTTCGGCCTTAGTTTTCCACTGTGGCCCCTTACGAAACGTACGGGAAAAATGGATGTTCTTCTTACTTCAATACTACATAGCATAAAATATTATAATTGTGCTGCAATTGGGTTCCCTAATACGCTCCTCAATACATATTATTGTGTGAGATTAATTACATTCAATTATTACGATTTTGATACAAGAAACTTGCACAGTATTAATGGGGCAATGAACATTTGTAACAAGATCAAATACACTTGTGCTTTACCCATGCAAATCCAAATTCATGTTGTTAGAGTCGAAAGGACAGGTTGATTTTATATGATGAAAAAGAAATTTCTTATAAGCATATGTGGAGAATAGGTGGAACACGTAAGTGAGAAACGTAATCTAGGATTGCTGATGGACCAGGGTCTTCGCTTTGAGAACCATGTACTTGAGATCACACGCAACTGTTTTTATAGACTCAAAGTACTGTACAAAGTGAGTGATTATCTCGGTGAGAATGTGCAATTACGCCGATGTGATTCACTCATTCAAGACTTGGGTACGCAGATACTGTGTATAGTCCTAGATTATTTGCTAAAACAAATAGGTCAATACAAAGGGTGCAAAACGTATGTGCAAGGTACATCTCTAATATTACTCGATATCATCATGTACATCCGTATCTTAACAAGTTGGATGTAACAAGGATGTCATTGAGGAGAAATTTACATTTAGCTATGTTTCTGATCGGTTGCATAAAATTAGAAAGACTGGAATACCAGGAAATAGAGTAAATGGGGCCCTACACTCTATTGTGAAGAGTCAAAATGTGTCAAAAAAAGGCACGTATGGAAATTCACAGTGCTGTATTAGTCCCTACTTTAACGTATGGTAGTGAAAGTTGGGTATGGCAGAAAAAGCACGAGAGTAGAATAAATGCAATAGAAATGCGGTCGTTAAAGAGTCAGGGCTGAATCTGATTGACAGGGTAAGAAATTGTGTAATAAGAGAAGAGTGTGGTTTGCAAGATGATGTTGTGACCGGATTAAGAAAAGAACGCTTCGGTGGTTTGGTCATGTGGAAAGAATGAATGAGGAAAGAGTGATAAAGAAAATTTATGTTGCAGAAGTGAATGGCAGAGTCGGAAAGGGACGCCCTAGGCGAAAATTTATCGACTAAATTAGCGATTTATTAAAAACGGGCCAAATTAGGTTTACCCTTAACCGACGAGCATGTATGCGTAGGTATATGGATGTGAAGGAGGCGAGAGAGGTGTGTCAGGTTCGTGCCAAATGGAAGTCTGTAGTCTCTGCCTACCCCTCTGACAGGCGTGAGTGTTTATGTTATGTTATGGAATACCTCTTTCAGAACTAAAAATGGAGAAGAGCAGATATCAGATGATGGTCGAAGCATCAGAATGGGAACCCCAATTCTGGCAATCCCATATCACCGAACAGCTGATACATGTCCACTAAATGTTGGAATAATTTACCTTCACCTATAAGGGAAACTAAATCTGTAAACGGTTTTAAAGCTCAATTAAAAACACCTTTTAGCATTTCAAAAATCATTATTTCACATGTATTGGCAGGTTATTTCTTAAGTAGGATTTAAGAAATAAAAATGGTGTATATAATATATTTTTATGTGTGAGTGTGTGTATATGCATGTGTATTATGTATGTGCATGTTTTAACTAGATGCTAATAAAACCTGTCTATGTCTAAGATACCTCAAGACGCGGTTGCTGCCTCCTTAAATATTCTTAAAAACAGATTACAAATGATGCAATGACTAGTAGTGTGGAATACACTGAATTTATAGACTAAATTGATAGTATGGATATGGACTAATATAACACCAATACAGATATATACATTCGCCTCAATAATAATTTATATTTACACTTTATTTGAAACCTGTTTAACGGAGCAGGAACTGGAGCATGACTTTCCTTTTCTTCCCTTATTTAATCTTTTTAGTATTACTACAATGGTAGATACCATGTAATCGAAAAAACAGTAGATCATAGTAATTCAAAGATTTCTCTTTTGCAGAACCATTTGACCTGACGAACACTGCACACTCTGTGTATGACCCAGAGTCGTTTGAGAAAATAGTGAACACATTTAAGGAGAGCTACAAAAGGCTAGCGGTGGGTCTAAGGCTGGCGGACGCTTGGCCGGTGCCAGAGCGATGATACGCTCCAATCCACTCGGACTGATCTTCAAACTTACTGAAGACTTTACCCGAGTGTTGTTTAAACCAAAGTTCTTTTGAGCAAAGTGTTATATTGTGACAGTTTCAAAGTGTTAATAGGCTTTAAGCCACTGTTATAAAACGAACGAGTCTCATATGTGAGTGTCACTTATTATGTTTGAAAATTGTTAGTAGTACTGAGTGAACGCTCTCATCTCAGATTGGATATAACAAATTGCAAGTGTTTCTGGTGTTGTGGTGTTCAGTAGTTACGGGTTATGACTAAATTTCCGTTGGACACAGGGTATGAAGTTAGTGTTGATGGCCAATATTCTGAAATAAAATTATAGACAAGCAGCATTTACTAAATATACCAAATCTTAATGGAACATTTATTCCAAATAAAGTGGCCTAGACATAGTAGATACTGCTTAAGCTATGTTTTTGCAGAATATGTGGATGAAAACATTTTGAATATGTACGTCAGCAATATCATTTAACATCACATATTATGGGTAGTCCTATTAGAGCCGAATATACATAATATTGTTAACCTCACTGGCTGTGATAAGCGACTGATTTCCCTATAAATATGTCCTAGAGTAAGCATTGCATTCATACTTATGTCTACAGGACAAAATGGTTACATAAAATCCAGGTACTGTAACAAAAAACCTGATTTTGAATCCATTTATCATATATATACATACAATATGGTTTCATCTCATACAAAAACACAAGGCTTCATAAGTTTTCTATATGAAATCCAATGGTTAACTTTGGGAGGAGATTTAGCTGTGTATCAGGCAAAGGGCCCTAGTCAAAGAAATTGTTAGTTGTAACCACGGCTAAACAATTAGTTCCTAATCATAAATTTAAAACTAACTCCACTATTCCAGCCACTGATAATCGAAATTACGTTAGAGTTAAATATTTTATATTGTGTACATAGAACTATGCCACTATGAAAATTATATGTTTGAATCCCATAGTGACATACTGCTTAGGTTTATTCATCATAGGTAAGACTGGTACAACTTGTGCATTTAATGGTTAACCCTTAGAATTCTGCAAAGCCACTATTAATTGAATCTGAAACAAATGAATTATTACGTCAACCAGTTTAGACTGAACACATTTCCGAGGCATTTTTAATAGTCTCTCCAGTCAATGAGTTTCCAGGAGAAACTTATTTCATATAATGCTTATTTATTTTTCTATTTATGATCGTAAAAGTGTTCATATCAGTAAAAACTACTTGCCTTAAAATTATAAAGATGACCCTAAATTATAGTACCTCTAAGTTTAGTATCCTACTATTCATCGAAAAGGGCAAATATATTATTTAAAATTGGAATTATGGCAACATCATCTCATTGTGAGCATTGCTATAAAGAATTGTACAGAAACGATAATTTATCAATAGTCTAGTGCTAAAGAACTTTTCAGGACCTAGGACTCAACTACATTTTTTTGAATCCATCCATTCCACCTTAGATGAATTTGTTGTGTATTTTCTCCACCAATCAAATGAAAAAGAACTTGTACATAATTGTTACATTTTTAACGATGTAATGAAAAATTTTAATGGATTTGTTTACAGTTTACAAAGTCTTAAATTTAAATTATAATTATATATGAAATTGTTTTAAATCATTTTAAACAGTTTTTTAGAAGAATTTAAAAGTACAAAGGCATCTTGCTCACATCTATCGGATCTCTTTAGGGTTGTCTGAAGGCATATAAATGGAGTTTTTAATCCCTTTAATCAAGCAAATTAAGAACATCTTGGCTTGAATTACAGCTTCCAGTGATTTAAAAAGTTAAAAATAAATATATTGTAGTGGAATTCAGAAGTGGTGCTGCCTATAAACGCGTCCTTTTGTTTTAATATTTATATCATATATTTGTAAGTTATTTAAACTTGTAAATAATAAGTACGGAGCGGAGAGAGCGAGAAATAAAGAAGTGTTTAAGGAATATATTGTAATGTTTTATGTAAATAGTATTTTTGTGATCCGTTAAAAAATGACAAAAAAATATTTAAAATATATATACAAAGAATGTTTTGAAGGTGTATGAAGGCTTGGCAGTGCAAGGGTAATAAGCTATTTTTTAAGTAAAGTATTGTTGGGGGTTGAAAATATCGGGACGGCAGTAAGAAGCCTAAAGTTGTTCTTTATATATTAAACAAAATTTACCATATGACATTTATCATTGCATTTATTATTAAAAGAAAATAAAGCAATAGATACATGGTTCAACGGCAGGTCCTAGACCTTATATTGTACATCTAGCCCGCTTTTTTAATGCCTTATTGTTAAGAGGTTTGTGCCACATTTCACATAAACACTGGTTTTTAATAAGTGGTACTTTTCTCCTATATATAGTTACGCTAGATATAACTATAATTTACATAACTAATATAAAAATGGTGCTAAAATATCTTTTACAATGCATGTGCTTAGCGTTAACATTGTCTCAAGTTTACAGTACACTTAAATTCCAATGTTGCCATGAAACTGTATAAAGAAATGAATATTATTCAACATTAGGCATTCTCAAATTCTTGTTAAACTTAGTGTAGGGATCTTGTCGATAAATAATAATGTTCATAAATATTTTGTTGGCATTTAAAAAGGTTAATTAGTTATTTAGTTTTTACTTTTTACATTATTGGCTGTTAAATTTTTTCCATATTTTAAAGAGCTAATACAAGCTTAGTTTATATATACCCCGTACAAGCTTTGTTTACCTTTGCATTAAAACATTTGCCTTGCTGTAATGTAAATGTTATATCATTTTTTAAGATTTTACACAAGAGGCACTGGCCCCATGCTGAATAAAAAGTACAATAAATAATTATGAATAATATATAAAGAAACTGTTTAGACTGTGTCTCTAAAATTGTTTAAATTACCAAAAAAAAAACTCGTCAATAAAAAATAAAAAAACTCTAAAAAAAATAAAAAAGTCTAAAAAGTACAAAAAAATATAAAAATCCTGAAAAACCAATACACTTTGATTTTTTCAAAGTTAAAAATGAGCATGTTAATATTTTGTTAAGTGAGAGCGTCCATCTGCTTCTCAGTTTTTTGAACTTTGATACTTTATGATGAGTTGTCAACAAAGAGCTAAAGTAATCGCTAAACACCTCGGCTACAGTATTAAATAGAGTATCTCTTTATTTTCAACAAGAGATGTATCGCCTAGACTTTTTATCCACCCGATGTAATAATGATAGCATGGTTATCAAACTTTCAATGCTTAAAACCAAAACAAACCTCTTAAAGCTTGCTTGAAATACATGTAATCACAGCTGTTTTAAAATAAAAAAGTTTCCTCTGTCTGGTACCATATATATAATATGTTAATACATTTTGATCTTTTTGGCTTGCATCTTAAATATTTAAAAAATGTAACTCGATGAAGATTGCTTGATACTCCAACAGCTATACTTTGTAAGCAACATGAAAATCAACAGCAAATAGTTATCACAAACAATTGTTTAAAACTTTAAATTATTTTATTTGCCAATTGTTTGGTTATGGGTCTTGAATAAGGCAAGACATTTTAATAACTATATATTTATTACTCCACCCATAACATTAGAACACTCATAACTGAACAGTTAGTGATGCTGCAAATTTAAAAGATCAAAATGCATGCCACATGCCTTAATTTTTTGCCGCTGCTAAAATGATCTGGTTTATGATAAATATGCAGTTTGTTTGAAATATGTATAACTTTTTATTTTCTAAATTTTCTATTGCTAAAAGTCAATAAATTTGTAAAAATATTAATATATTTTCCTTTTAGTTTTTATTTGTTAAATTTACCAAGTACATTAATGTTGTTCTTATCCACAGAATAATATTGTTCAAAAAGATAGAATGCAAAGTTGTTAGTTTACTGTTCCAAAAAACTAAAAGCAATAATTACCTGTATACAATATAGAATACTCAAATTTACGGTTATATTAGACATTATATTATATACATGTAGTTGACTTCTATTGCATTTTATTTTATTGAAAACAAGCATAATATACAAGTTATTGTTGTACAAATAAATTATTGTGAAAAATATTCTATAATACTACATAAATCTACAAACTGCCAAAATGATTTATTATTTTATTTATCACTAGCGACTCCCTCTCACTTGGTCTGGAAAGGATCTGTTAATTAGAGATGGGCCGAATATGAATATTCGGCCGAAAGTTCGGTAAAAAATTTACCGAACCGAATATTTGGTCGAACATTATTCAGCAGGATCACCTTGGTACCTAACCAATTTATTTGGAAACTTGTTACCGTAAAGTGCGCGGGATTAGCGCCGGACCCTGACCCTCGCTCTCACGCCACACCTGACTTGTTACGAAGGCGACACCGAAAATTTTTAGAACTGGCCACTTGTAAACGATATAATAAAAAAATAACTTCAAATTTAGAAAATTGAACTCTGCCAATATTGTGTACGTATTTTAGCCTTTGACTAGAGAAGAAAGAAAGGACATGACGTAAGATCTTTATTGTAGGAATGTAACGAAATATCGGCGTCTCTTTTTAGCTTATAAGTATATTCTTTCTTTTTTATCATTACCGAATATGGCAACAATTTTTTCACTGCGGCCGGGCGCCATGTTTTGTCACAGTCAATGACAACTAAATCAGTCGCCATTGTGGCTTTAATGAGGAGAGTGTGATTTTTATTCATATGTTTCTCTCGTGGAATTCGATTATTACGACATTTCTTACTCTATTCCTCGGGACTTCTAAATCGGGATAAAAAGTATCCTATATGTTAATTCGGGTAATAAACTATTTGTGTGCCAAATTACTACATTCAAAGTGGTCTGATACTTTGGCATGATTGAGGAATAAACAAACATTCAAACTTGCATTTATTGTAGTTTGATTAATGTGAGTGATGACTGAGCCTAATTTATTGTTAACAAACAAACAAAAATTCTTTAATTGGTATTTTTTATTTAGTAAT